CTCCGGGTCCTGCCCCCCCCCCGCTGCAGCCTCCACGGGCTCCTCGACCTGCTCCCCGCCAGCTGCAGCTTCCTTCGCCTCAACCAGACTCTGTCGCTGGGCGGGCCGGCCGGCGCGCTGACGCCGCCCCATCGTCTTCAGGTCCTGTTCTGGTCTTCGAGTGGGTCGCCAACGAGGCCGCCCTCCTGCCTCCAGTTCCCGAGTGGGTCGCCGATGAGGCCGCCCTCCTGCTTCTGACAAAGCTTCTGATTGGATAACCTTTCACCTAGAACTGTCAAATCGAGTTTGATGACAGCCGGTATCTATACTGTGTGTTTTGTACTACACGGTGCATGCTACACTGTTTTGCTGCTGCACACATACAGTGTCGGTATTAAAACTGCAGTGAGGTTAAACTCCAGTAAATGGAAAGTCAAGGGTTTGGATCCTGTTGAAACTGCCAGCTGACCCCGACACACATCGAGACTGTCTGATTCAAAAATGTCTCTGTTCAATCTGAAAAACCAGAAGCACACTCATATGTGCATCTTTTATTTTTCAGCCTCTCAAAATTTTTATGGCAATCATTTTACTTGAGAGGGGAAACCTTGTCTTAAATCTCAAAATGGGCGTTTTGTGTTCAGTCTCTGCAGACATTAGACACTCTGAGGAGGAGGGATCCTCATATTTTACTTCCTGGAGGTCTTTGAACTGTTCTCAAAGGAAACCAGAAATATGGTTTCATCAATGATTCAACTTGTCTGGTCTGTCCTTGTAAGTTTAACAGGATGGTGGACAGTCTCAATTGTTATCAGGGTACAGATGAATCTATCAAAACCCTTTCCTAAGGACATAAATCATTTTTGTCTTTTTGTTAACCATTCTTTCTTTTTATGCATTTATTATTATTCATTTTTATTATGCAGGGTTATAAGGGAGGGGACACAGGGATGCTATATAGAAATATATATGTGTGTATATAGATAGATAGATAGATAGATAAGCACTCAGTCTATTCCTGAGGTGAACCCAGTTGAACCCGGGTGGTGGCGGCGGGAGGCGCCCTTTACACTAACCTTAACTATCAGAAGTAAATGCCTCACCCTAACCTTTACCCTCCATCTAACCTAAACCTAATTCTAACCCGAACCCTAAAACTAAGTCTTAACCCGCAAAAAGCTGTTTTCAGGAAGTGAGGACCAGCCAAAATATCCTCGCCTTCCAAAAATGTCGTCACTCTGTAGCAAAAGAAATACTTCATTGGTCCTCACTATATAGCAAGTACAAGAGCATGCACACACACACTGCTGACTACACACAGCATAATGTGTCTAGACAAAACACATTATAGCAAACTGTTTCATCTCAGAACAGCAAACCTGATTCGTGAATATTTCTTCAGTCCTCCTCCTCTTCCTTTTTCTTTCCTCCTTCCCTCTTTCTTTCTTTTTCCTTTTTTTCATGAATCCTCCCAGTCTTTCTTTTCTTCTGTTTTCTCTTTGCTCTTCTTTCTCTGTCTCCCTCTTATAGCCATACTGTACTTATCGCAGCAATGCCAAGGCAGATTGTAAGAGTTTTACAATATAAGAATAACATGCTTGATTATTTTAAAAAACAATAAGATACATTTTATTTTGAAATTGAAGTTTGTCCTTTTTTCCTGCTTCTACTACCTTATTATAACCTGCTCTCTTCTGTTGGACTTTGAGTTTGCCTGCCATTTTTTATATTGCTGAAATTAGCTGTGTTCAGGTTCTTGTTTTTCCTGGCAACTAGTCATTTATCTATCCCCAGTTTGAACCCTATCCTTACTTGTGGATGGACACTTGCTAATTCTGTGGATCTGGTCAGTGTGTGCTCCCTAACTGAACTGTGGGCCTTTACCTACCCGCTCAATTAAGAACAGTTTCACCCCTCATAATAATGGAAACATCTTTCTGACATCATCAGTTCTAACCAGAGAAAAGTGAGCATAGAACTCCATGCTGCTACCCTCAGTGCAGAACCAGCAGAAGTGGGCTGAGAATCCAAAAAGAGCCTCCTACTGCGACACTGCTAAAATAAAAAATAAAACAAGTCCTGAACCAGTGTATGGACTGAATGCTCCTGGTAATACACACACCAGAAACAGTGCTTTGTGACTATTTTTTAATGCAATGACATCCATAAGTTCAAGATGCAGAGGTCTGAAAGAAATAAGAGGGGGCAGAATTTTTAGAAGCAACACCTAATAGTGCAACAAAGAAAGTATTAACAGTAACTACTGAAGTATTCCACTATTACAAACAGTCATCTGTTAGTCCACAGTCTGGAGAAGATGGAGTAGAATTTCTTGATAGTTATGTAAAAAAACAAACCATGCTTCAAGACAGTGCTTTTATTAGATGCTTACATATGGGCCTGTTGCTGACTGTAGGACTTAATTACTCCTGATCACATAACAAGTAATTCTAGGACACCATAAGCTCTCATTCATTAACAACTTGTTCACCAACTGGTTAACAAACTGTGTAATTGTTTTTAACTGGCCAAACCTGTATTACACGATCCATAGTAAATCTTCATTGCAACAATTTGCATCAAATGTTTCATTTCCCAAAAAAAAGCCAGGTTTTTTTCTAGACATACATATATGACCGTACATCAGGATTTTATCCACTGCACACCCACACGCAGGGAGTGAACAGATTGTCCAGCCTCCCCCTCTCTCTCCCCCTTCTCCCTGGTCCTGATCCTCATTCACCTGAAACAAACACACCTCCCTGCTGCTGCAGTGAGAGAGAGGGCGAGAGAGGTTGAGAGTAAAAGAGAGAGAAAGAGGAGGTGGAGGGAGGAGAGGAGGAAGAGGGAGGGGACAGGGCGGAGGAGAGGAGAGAAGGGGGAGGGATGAGGCAGCAGCAGCAGCAGGTAGAGATGGAGGGCGTAGGGGTGAGGGGAAGTTGGCGCATGCGCACTACCTTTGCATACCCTCCGCATCGCCTCCCCTCT